GTATATAAAAATTTTTATGGAAGAAACTTCATTTTGAAAAAGTGGAGAAAGAAATACAACCAACTGGACACTAAGCAACCAGCCACCCAAAAGGAGACAGGATAAAAATAAAATAACATAAACAAAGAGAAAGAATGAAAATAAAAAAATCCCTATCCTGTTAGTAGATAAACAAAACCTCTAAAAGAAACTACAACCTTTATCCCAAAGGGACGCGATAAACACTACCCTATCCCCAAAAAAGATCTAAATGAGACCTTTCTTTACAACTCCCGCATTCTCCTCCAACAAAATGATTCAAAACGCAGCAGATAGTCCCTTTCCACTAGATCCATATAATTACACTATCTAATGCTTAGAAGAAAAGCGAGAAAATACAGCAAACTAGAATAGCAAATCTTAAGCTGCAGAACAAGAACCCAACCACCTAATCTGGTTAAACTCAGTCATGAAAGATTAGTATTCATTTAGAGACTGATAGCTCCAGAATTAAAAGGGAAAGCACAAAACAGAAACATTTATAGAAAAAGCAGGAGACTGCATCCATGAAACATAACAAAACAAAAGCAGAAACCAAGCAATTAAATGAAGATTATGATGAAATTAATATGATTAGAATTCAACACAAGTAAAAAAGCAATCTAAAATCAAAGAAATGACAACATGGAAACAGCTTACCGGAATTGTGTCAAGATTAGTATATTACCACCAAGAAATATCAGCCAGTTAAGTTAGTTGAATACCCTTGAATGTACTTTTTTTCCCTTTCTGCATATTATTTTTATTTGCTTACAGTTCGGTTACAACGGATTGTACTGTTAGAAGCACAAGCTGGAATGCACGCTGTGTCACACTGGTGTGGCTGTAGAGTGTACCAGAAGATAGTAATAGAAATATGCAATCAATGATGTAACGGAATCAGAAAAACCTGGTAAAAATTATCCTATGCTCTTCACTATTCGTCTTCTCCCTCTCTTTTTCTCCTTCCTCTCTTCCCAGCCATTCAATCTTCTCCTTAAAGCTTCTTCCTTTTCCCTCCAAAACTTCCAACTAACCTTCAGGCTATAACTGGCTGCCTCATGAGTCAGTGGCCTGAAAAATTGCTGGAATACAGTCCAACAATGTTCCTGAGGGTCTACAGAACATAAGAAACCCAAAACAATTCCACAATCTACATTGTCCCTCCAAAATCTCTTTCCAGTTTCCCCTAATAATAGTAATTTAGGAGAGAATCTCTACCCATTAATCACATTTCCCTATGAAAATAACTAAATTATCCTAAAATCTACGTTAATAATCCAGATCAACTGTCCACATTGAATCAACAGTAACAAAAACAGTATTAATTAAATAATACTCCTAAAGAGGAGATCACGTTGTGAGATGAATAAGCTCATGGTTTTGCTGATGAAGTTAATGTAGAAAGGAATGGTAATAAAACAAGAAAAGAAAAAGATAGGGTGCAAAAGCAGCCATAAAATGTTTTAGATTATTTCCTGTCTTTACAGTTGACCATATCATCACCACAATGGCAGAAATAAAGAGTGACTTTCCCCTCAAATGATTTTCATTTACAGATAAGCATAAGAGAGAAATATACAAGCACTTTGTTCTTGGAAGGTCACAAATTCTTAATAACCTAAATGATGTTCAGAAAATTTCTTCGATCGAAAAGGATACTATATTAGGACATAAGCCCTGAAAAGAGAGAGGAAAGATAGGTAACGCACAATTAGCAGGAAGCCTGCACTAGCAAGACAGCTATAAGAGTTTTATAAGGTCAGAGTTTCACATTTGCATATCATCTTCACATAACAAAGAACAAAAAGCGTCAACCAAAGCCCATGACTGGGAAAAAATCCATGTGGGACTATTTGAACATTGAAACTACAGCAGAAAAAGAAGGCTGTCTAACCTAACTAATTAAAAAGGATTTTATAACATGCATTTGTAACACAAACTCACCCTACGCAACAAGTATATTAAAAATAAAACTAAAAGGAAATATTTCAATTGGAACTTCAGCATAATCCGTAGTACCAGGTATTACCTGCATGCCAAAACCAAGTCTGCCCTCTGGTTATGACCCACATACTTATACTCAGCCAGAGAATCACAAACAAGATCTAAGAAAGTATCTCTCTTTACAACTACTGTCGTTCGTCTTTTGTACAACTCAAAAGGTATACTCTTACTTTTAGCTTCCTTCTCCGAGAGCAAAATGCTACTTGTTTCTGCTTTACATAAATCAGCACATGCAGAACAATCATCTTTTTTCTCAGCATTTCCTTCCTTTTCACTTGGAAGAGGAACATCTGAAGAACCATCACTTCTTATTGATCCAAAGACCCTTTGACTAATCTGCTCAGAGATGAAAGAAGAGTACAGAATAAGTTTCAACTTTCTTCCATAAAACTTGGGGATAAATACAATAATGAGAAATTAAAAATCATTAAAACTGAGAAGTCCAAGAATTATATAACTATTTCCAACTCGATTAATCAATTTGCACAGAGACCAACAAAGTAGACGTGAACTAGAACAACAGGAACAAATTAATTGCACTTCTAAAACAATTGTCTTCTTCGCAGCATGAATAAATTTTCATTGCCAGTGGAAGAAACAAGCAATCAGGGGTAACACTATGACATGTTATTGTCATTACTTGAATAAAAAAGTTACCATGCCATAAATATCAAGGAAGAAAATCCATACCGTATATCTTTCATAATTCTTGTACGTGGCAACTGTGATGACATGGAAATTTTCTGTTTTGCTTATTTTAGGTGAAAATTATTTCTACGTCAAGTTAACTAATCAGCACATTATATTACCATAAACAGTTACACCATGTTTACAGGGAAATTATATGCTATGCTATATTGATTCCATTTAAGACCTTTTCTTAATGATGCTTTTGTCATGAGGTCGATGTTTCCGAGCCTCCACCAATAAATCATTTATTACTGGAACTATTTCCAAGGGATCACTCCCATAATGTTTACAATAGGTAGTTTGATCCGCACTTCTCAACTAAATATGGTAACCTAATTAGGATCCTGTTTTCTTTGATCAGTTTGATGTGATCTTGTATCTTAAGAACCAACTTATATAAACAACAATCACCTTTATAATCTCATCATCCATTAATCCATTTTTGAGAGGACCACAATAGAAAGATATTCTTTTTTCCTTTATCAAATTATCGAAAAAAAAAAATCCATGTTGAGCACTACTAATGATTGGACGAGGACTCGCAAAAGAAAATCTAGCACAAGCATGCTAAGATGCAAATGTTGAATGTTATCCACTTATACAAACGCCTCAGCTAGTTTCTAAAAATGCAAATAGTAGCCAGCTAACTTTTTTCGTTTGAAAACCAAAAAAAAAGAGGAAGAACCTAAACCGATGAACTAATATATTAGTTTGCATTTCAGTAGGAAACCACGGTTGTGAAGGGGAATCTGCCAATTCAACATACCAGTGAACAGTCATGTCCTAGTTAGGTCAGCAATTCCAGTTGGAACATCTCAAGGACCAATATTTTGTGGAAGAAAAAGCAAGAGTCAAACAAATCAACGCTTTGCATACTGCTTCAAAGTTGAATTTTTGAAACAAATATGAAGCAAAAAGTAAAGAGAAGATCAAGTCAAAGGAAATTCACTGTAATTATTGAGATGACACTCCTAGCCCCAAGCCAGACTAGCCCCTTGAAAATGACATTATCTCCCTATAATGATTAGCTAGGACCACAATATTGACCTAAGAATGCCTGGTTGAACGCATTGAAATTTTTACATTAAAAAGCTAGATTTAGAAAATCGGCAAAGTAAATTTACACAGTCCAGATCTACCCCACTTCATCCATCCACAGTGATCAACCATCATATATAGATTACTTCCTTTGTTAAAGCTCATTAATGACTTGAAAGACACGCAAAGAGAATTAACGAAACGTCCCGCTGAGTCCCCTAAAATTGAAATTTTCCTAGATTTCTTCGTCAATGAAGTAGATTACAAATAATTAACATTATTTGAGGCAAAAATATTTATCTAAATATAAAAAGCAATCGAAAGACTTAATTGATAGACCTTTCACTCCAGAAAGCAATGAATTACTGTACCTTGAAAGCATGACGCGCTTTGCATCCCATGAGTTGCAGAGTGCTTTGCAAAACGGGGCGCGTATACCTAAACGATTCCTTCTCGTTTTCTTTCTCTCTCTTCTGTCCTTCGTCCACCACCACTATGTACAAGACTTTCGACACCTCTCCCATTCTGCAACAAAAGACACGAAAACACACCGAAAATGAAATCTAATTCAAGATTCACATAAGTTCAAAACAAAAACCGCATGCATAAAACATAAACAACACAAAAATACCGAGAAACCAAAGCACGAACACATGATCATACTCGAAGCAATATTCCTCAAAGAAGCGCGTATAACACGATATGACGCAAATGAGAAAGAAACGCAATGCAGGTGACGAAAAACACGACAGATTGAGAAATCGGACCTGGATATGCACAAGGAGACGACTAGATTTCACCGAACTCCGCGCAGATTATCAGTTACCGTACCGAAAAAAGGAAACAAACAGGAAAAAAGGTAAAGAGGTAGCTAGAACGTTAGGACTTATATGAAGAAGACGATCTCGCCATTTTCTGTCACCTGGCTTCCACGCATCGCTTGAGCAAAGGCACCACGAGTCTCCCTCTTATGACAACACCCTCCCTCTCTCTCTCTCTCTCTCTCTCCTCTATTTATATAATTATTATAAACGCGAAAACCGCTTTTGTTTGTTTCTTCTCTGTTTTGGGTTCTCAGGATTCTCTCTCTATGGGGTTAAATGACAGATTTCGCCCTCTGTTACGGTTGAAATTACGATCATGGTATAATCCACTGCGGTGAAACGGAGCGTTTTGTTTTTCCGATGGGTGACGTGGGCCCCGGAACGAAGATCGAGGAGTGGTAAAAATGTAATTTTAATGAAAACTTAGGGTCGAAGTATATGAAATACTGAACAACTGCTTTGTCCTTGGTGATTAAGAGAAGGAAAAATGGAACTATTGAAAATGACCTGTCCTAATAAATATTTATTTCCATTTTTAATGTGATTTTCTTTTATTTTAAATATAAATAATAATAAAGTACATATTATATTCTTACAAGTTAGTTTTAGATTTTCATTTTTGCCTAATAATTTTAATCAACTATTTTCTTAATATTCACTTAAAATTAATATTATTATAATAAATATATATTCGATTACTAAAAATTACTTATTTTTACAATTATTATTTTATTAAATACGTAACTATTTTTTAAATTTTTTTTTAAACATATCTCTTTGTGCAATCTCAAACACCATTTAAATTGTATTTTAAATTATAACTTTGTCTTATTAAAATTTTATTAGAATATGATTATTTTTATTTTTGTACTTCAAATTTATAAAATAATTTTTAATATACATATTTAAATGAGAAATTGTTTAGATATGAATATAATAAAGCGTATTTTATTAATAATTTATGACCCACTTAGTCTAATTGGCGGTTTGGATACGCTTTGACCGAGACCAATTAGTTAAGCACCATGGTTTTTGTGCTTTACTTTGTCATTTTGAGTTGTCGTTCTCTTTCTTTTATGGTATCGAAGGAAACTACCAAGACTTTGAATGGGTCTATACATATACGTATAAGCATATATGTATGTATATATACACATACATACGCATATACGTATACTCCGTTGCCCCGGCTAATTAATTAGTTAATTACCCTTTATTAAGTATACCAACCAGCCTAGTTGTGTTTAATTATGAATGCAATTATGAGCTTACTAATTAAAAGCGGCAAACATTTCATTATGGACTATTGAATTGGTTTGTGCATTCACACGATGTGGTTAAAAAATTAGGTTATAATTAATTTTTACAAACATCAATATAAACCTCTAATAATAGCATGATGAACCAAAAAAATTAAGTAACAACATTTAATTAGCTGGACAATCATATGTTTTGACCCACATTATTATAATAAATATATATTATAAACACAATAACTTAATGGAATGATATATGTATGTATGTATGTATGGCTTCATGGGTCATTCATTATATTCCCCCACTACTTCAATCCTAACCTTCTTCAAGAAATTTTGAGATACAATAGTTTTAATGATGGGTGTACATGAATATACATCCCATCATAATTGAATCGCCAAAAGGGTGCGTGCATCTATATGATAGATACACATATCTAAACATACGTATCTATTATATATATATATATATATATGTGTGTGTGTATTATTTTATTATTTTTATTTTTTAAAAAAACTTGCTTAATTTAAATTAAAAAAAAAATAAAACGCACATGTCGAGGGGTTTGGATTCTGAAAACTTTAGACGACGACGACTCCGGTCTTATTCTGCTGCCAATAAACATGCGTCTACCGAATCCTTTGACAATCCAACGCGTTGGTTATGTGGAATCTTGGGACTTAATACCAACCGTTGTCTTTTTTTAATAAAATAAAAATTAGAGAATATGAATTAAAAATATATATATAAGAAATTATTTAAATATTAAAATAAAAAATAAAAAATAAAAAAATTCAAACAGAGCATTTAATTTTTCAAAAAAAAAAAAAAATACATGGTTTAAATAATATTATTTTTTAATGTGGTATGTAGAAAGTCTAAATATATACACCTAATGGTATTTTATTTTATTTAAAAAATAAATTGTTTAATTTTAGGTGGCACGCAAGTCGGGGTTGTGATGTGGAATCTTAGCCGTTGACAGAGTTGATGAATTCAACGTTTGTTCTTGACGCCAATCAGCTGGCCCCCACATTGGCTCTCTTTTATCGCCATAAGCGCTTTTTTTTTTTTAAAAAAAAAAATTTATTAATATATTAATAAACTAAAATTTTAATATTATTAAATAAAATATTATGTTTCTAACTAATACTAATTTATAATTTACCTATATAATAATAAATATTATATATTAAATAAAATTTAAAATTATAATTTTCAAACATAAATAAATATATTAGCTATTATTACAATTGTCAAAGTCAAACATCAATACGTTATATTTTTGTTGTCCAAGTCCTCGTTATTTTCTTTTTCTCTTTAATGGTTAAAATTTGAAGTCAAGTCGTGAATTCTTATAATTAAAATCTTACTTGTATAAGATTCACCATATATACATTTATGTCAAATATACATACAAATATACAAACATTGTGTGTATATATACATATAAAGTGAATTTATGATTTTAATAAGGTTGGATAGTTTAACAATCTACAAAACAAGATTTTACTAAACAAAAATAGTTGTGTTAAATTAATATATCTATATATATATATATATTTGTATATTTTAATTTTATAGTCTCAAATTTTATTATGGATATAGCTCTAAGACTAATTATCATTTAAAAATTTTTAATTTCTATGGACAATGTATTCAAATAATTATATGTGAATAATAATACATCGTGTTAATTATATCTAATTAAAAAATTTAAATTTTTTTAATAATTGAAAATTTATTACCCAAAATCTTAAGTACAAATATTTAATTTTATTTTCAAATTTTATTATTTAAAAATTGATTCAGAAACACCATAACAGTTATAAAAAAAAATTAACAATGATTAAATTATTATAAACATTATAAAATATAGTTT